AGCTTCAGGTAGAAATCCACCCTGCCGTAACAGCTTTACTGGCCGTACACCCTAGATTATAACCCTGGTTGGTTGGTTGTTGACGGGTTTATCGCCTACATGACTCTTCCCGTGCGGGTTTCGTCTCACTGACGGAGGTCGGTGTTCTGTCGGCGTTAGACTATAAACCGTATCACCTTGTTATTTGTACTGAGGAGGTCGTTCACACACAAGACACACTTTTTACAATCTGAGACAGGATAACCTGGTAAAGATTCGAAAGGTGAACACCTCCACATATGGAAAGAGATCGTTCCGTGTTGCTGCTTCCCAGGTGTAGAACAGCCTACCAAATGAACTTCGATTAGCTGACAACTATAAGTCGTTTCGTGGGCTGCTCCGCACCTGGAACAAACATGTCTGCTCGTGTGCTATCTGCACACACCATATAGTATGAGTTGTCCCCCTTTGAAATCTACCTACATGTTTTATACTACAACTATTTAATTTCACTGTTGCTTGTGTTATTAGGGTTTTTCACCAACTGGTGAAACGACCTATTGTTTTTGTTATGTTTCTTATTCTTCTTCTTATTATTCTTAATATTATTATTCTTCCGTACCTTGCGTAGTCCTAATCTTTTGATTGGTAAAAGATAGGTTTTTATTCTTTAAAGTATGTTGTAGGAAAAGGTCTGAAGCTGATGAAGCAACATTTTGAAGTAGGTCATAAATCCAATATGGCCACCATGACGTCATACCTCAAAATCGAAAAATGGCCATAACTCAAAAACGGTTTAATTTATAGAATTGACGCATTAATATTATATGCAGATAACCTTCAGGGATAACTTTTTTTTTTGATTACATGTTGATACAAAATATTTCTAATAAAAAAGCTCGCTATTGGGTCAAAGGTCACCATTTTTTAGAAACATTCAATTTTCATTGTTTTTGAATAATACTACAACAGATCGATGGAGGATGCCATTCCGATGAATTTGATGTATTTAGTTTTTCTGTAACATTTACCGTTAACGTTGTACGCCATTTTGAATATTTTCTTCTGATCTTTTAAAAATATCGCAATATTTTAAAACTTGTTTAACTCCAATATCAATGACAAATATTTGGTTTATTTGTTATGAAAAAGGTTCCCCCAGATGTCCTCTTACAAAAAAAATCAACTTCATTGAAAAATGATAATGGCCGCCATGACGTCATACCTCAAAATCTTAAAATGGATATAACTCAAACACGGTTGAATTTACAACCTTTAAGCACCGACATCATTGGTAGATAAAGTTCAGGGCTAACTTTTTTCCAGTGTATATTATTACTTAAAAGGTCAAATGAAAAAGTTCGCTGTTGGGTCAAAGGTCACAATTTTTAAAAAATATTAATTTTTCATTTTTTTTTAAAGAATTCTTCAATAGATCGATGAAGAATGTTATTCCGATGAATTTGATGTCTTTAGTTTTTCTGTAACATTTACCGTTAACGTTGTACGCCATTTTGAATATTTTCTCTGATCTTTTAAAATGCTGACAATATGTTTAAACTTCAACGATCTTCTTCTCCAATTCTGCCATTGCAATATTAACCACAATTAATACATGTATTCCTCTAGGGGCCCTTACGAACTTATGTTACTTTTTGGAGCAATTAATATTCCAAGATGGCCGCCACGAACTCTGATTGGTTAACAGCCTATACCAAAATATTTCGTTAACGATATCAAGCACGAGGTTGATCTTTGGATATCATATGGAAATAAGCAAGAGCAAACTTTTTCTGTCATACTGTTTTAACAAAAAATGTCAACTTCCGGTTCTCGGCAGGGGTCAAAGTTAAAATGCACTATATTGGGTACCAACCTTAAAAAATCTTCTTCTTAAGTTCAACAAGGTCTAGAGACCTGATATTTGATAATAAAGATTCTGAGATGTCGGGGAATCAGGTTTGAAAAAATGGTTGACATTGATCAAATATCAGGGTCACAATCAAGGTCACAAACTTCATATGTGCTATTTCAAGATAATGACTTCAAAAAACTTCTTCTAAAGTTCCACAAGGTCTAGAGCCCTACTATTTTATACATAACATGGTCAGGTAATTGGCTATCAAGTTTAAAAATATGAATGACCTTGACCAATGTTCAAGGTCACTGGGGTCAATTATGTTAAAATCTTCAAAAGACTCCTTCTCAATAACGGAAATGCCCGGGGTATTGATATTTGGTCTGTAGCATGCTAGGATGATGGGCTACATGGTTAATGGACATAAATAACCATTAAAGATCAACTTCCGGTATTTAATAGAGGTAAAATTCGAACATGTAATTTTACCAGATACCAGGACTTTTACTACCCTTACAGTGAAAAGCCCGTCAAATTGTTAGCCAACAATTTCTAGTTTAATTTAATATACTTCAGTAATATATTTATTATGTAATTGATATTTATTCTAGATTTGAGCTCCATTATTTAAAAATCATTACTTTTTTACAATATCATAATTATAGCTCTGTTTCTTTTTATGACTTCATTGTCTCTTTTTAATTACGCTATATTAGTGTATATCCTGTAAATTTTTACACTTTGCTACATAAGCATATCAGTACATTACACTAGTATAGTGTCTTAACTTGTCTTTTGTAACACTTGTGTGACATTCAAGTGTGATATCATATGCTCTACTGTATAATTTTAGCATATCTAATTTGAATTGTTGTCCTATTTTTATATTTATATATATTCATAAGTACTGTGATCCTTGTTAAATTTCATATATGTTTTGTCGCAAGAATAGCACTACAGTGCTAATGTTATTATGTTACATGTATATGCGACGTTAAATAAAGCTTCTCGACAAGAATTTGACACTGATTAAATAACAACGTTNTTAGTCGGGGACAAGTCCACATGTGTCGGCAGGCGTGCTCACTCGAGCTTAAATCACTATCACCACCAGAAACACAAATCATGGACAATGTACAGAGAATGAAGACAATCATATTCTATTATGATATCCTTAATTTGTTTGCCACATATATGAATTTTCCTAGTAGACACTCAATAACTGAACGACTTTAAATAGACTGGCCACCAGCCCCTAATTTTTTATGAAGAATTTCTCGACTGCATTTTACTACTAGCTTATCTCCCCCTAGTTTAAAACTTAGGATCAGACATCCAAGTGATCAAAATTATTAGAGTTAAAAAAAATTCTTAATTATTCAATATTCTAGAGACAGGGGCCAGTCTAGACTTTAAACACAGATGTTTTTCTCTCGAATAATAGCATTTGATAAAATGGGATCTGAGAATTTGGAATTAAGAACAGACCAATAAAAAATAAAAGGCTATTATGAATTCATTCACTCACATAAGATAATACATTTGACAATGCTGAAACAGTAAATGATGGTCGCCATCTCGGATTGTGTAAAGTACAAAACGGAAAGCGGAACGAAAATACGGATTTTTGTATTTTCACAGGAAGAAGTGCTCAAATAAAAAAGCTGTTTTAATATTTGATCAGTTTTACTGAAAACAGTATCTAAAGCAGTTTAAGAAGAAACATTAACACTTGTATTCTAACATGTTCTCTTGCAATAAAAGTAAGTGTGAGATGACATTTGTCATGGATGTTTCCCCTCTATATGGAACGTTAAAAACTTTTAAACATTTTTCTTTTAATAATGTAAATGTGGATAAACTGAGGGATACAACGTAAAGGGAAAATACATATGTCATATAGATTATCTACATGATGACCCCCCCCC